ATATATATATATATATATATAGGAGAACTGATAGTAGAAGTCAATAAATTTGAATGTGTTTCATTGAGAACAAAAGCCTCATTTATAGGGAAGAATTAGGATTGCAAGGGAGGCAATCATAATAATAACTAGAACTGTAGATGTATAATTGTCATTTACTAATAAACATATTATTTATTATGGTTGAGAATATTTTTCAACTAAAAGTTGTCTTAACATGTGAAATGAATTTTAATGATCAGCATTTGCCTCATGTATAATTTTATATGCACTAGTTACAAGTTACTATATTCGAGAGCGCACAATTTCAAACCGAATTAATTAAATAAATACTCATTAAACTTTTGTTTATTATTAGGAACAAAAATATTTACTCACTCACTCGTCTATTCAAACAGTTTTATTACTCTTACTTGACAAAAATCGTCATGTACTTGATATAAATATGACACAACACTTTGACAACATTAAGAAGGTGTCCTCAATTAGGATTTTAAAGAATTTTAGAATATTATAAATTTTAATGAAGTTCATGAATTTAAATAGATTTCTATAGAATTCCTAATAATCTCATTAAAAATTGTGAAATTCTAAATGAATTTGTTAAGTATATTTTAAACTTGAAATTTGTTCAGATCTCTTGAAATTCCTTTTATTAGTGAATTTTTTATAAATTTGTGAAGGTAGTATGGACACTTAAATTTTAGTGAAATTTATTAAAATTTCAATTGAGACATGTTGATTTAATTGGAATTTAAATCTCAATCGAGAACACGCCTAAATTAATTTGATTCGAACTTATTTTAAAATTATTAAGCCTATGTTTGGCCCCTATTTTTCTAAAAATTCATTTTTTCAAAACTCATTTTTTATCATGCATTCTGTCATAAAAATATTTTAAACACAAATCCAAAACTTTTCTTTATTTTTTAACTATACATTCTCCAATAAATACTATTTCAAAATAAATTTTGGCCCAAAAATGGGGCTCTAACTTGGGCTAAAAAACTAGGGAAATTTTCATATATTAGGACTTAAATATATGCCAATTCAATTTTAAGAGAACAAGTTTACAAATTCAAAACTCAGATGGTAATTAATAAATATTATATATAAAAAAATCTCGACTCATTCCAATCTCTCTCCAGTCCCAGCCATAGTTATTAGCATCCACCGTCACCATCCACTCTCATAGTCACTGTCTCCACCCACCGTCGGTATCCACTCTCACAGTCATCAATACCCATCCTTTGTCAATATTCACCTGTCGACATCTACTCTCACAGTCGGCGACATCCATTGTTGTCAACTCCTCTTACAGACACCAGCATGTAAACTGTTATCGGTGATATTGATCTTCAATTTGAACTTCAAATGACAAACTTTTGGCAAAATATAATTGACGATTACTAATTGAACTTCAATTGATGGATTTTTTATGGTGTGATTGAACCTACATATAAACTATTGGTTGTGATATTGATCCAATGGCTCATGACCAGTTCTCTTGGATATGTGAACTTTGGACATCGAGTTGTTATTTGTAACCTATAGACATGGATATGTTACCCATGCAAAATGATCTGTGACTTGTGAATTGTTACATGTCAACATATGAACTTTAACCTTTGAATTTGAATCTGTGACATGTTATCAGTGTACAAAAACATGTGACATATGATCGATAATAGGTTAATATTGATCTATGAACTATTGATATTGATCTGTAACCTATGAAATATTACCTTTGAACCTAGATCAGTGATCTGTAACCTATAGACATTGTTCTATGACCTACGTTTAATGACATGTGACTAGTGAGTTACCAAAACCTCACCAGCACTGGCACCACAACATGCAAACCACGGACATTCCACCACTATCGCATGAATACCACCATATGCAAACTGCACACAAGCAAAAATCTAAGACCAAAACAATAAAACAAGCGAGCAAACCACCAAAACAATATTATCATTAAGCAATGTCGCGGCTTTATCCAAACTGCGGTGGTGCGAAGGATCTCATAGCTTGAACTCTGATGGTGACCACGGCATAACAGGCATCCTATGTCTAGGCAAAAGCCTCCAAGAAAAAGCATTACCGAAGGCCTCATTATTGTGCCTGAACTTGCGACAACTGCTATAGGTAAGAAATTAGGGACCGTGAAACTAGGGTTGCATCATTCCAGGAGCTGGACCACCTGTTCGTCACAGGTCCATAAAAGCCCCAGTTGGGCTTGAACAAACGGCCCAGTAAAAATGCCACAACCATCAGCTCTGCCAATTTAAGGTCCTGAAAAGGCATTATCACTAGTGGCTTTAAAAGGTGAATCATCCAGCAATAGCAAACCCTCAATGATAAGTAAAATCACCTCTTCATTGCGAAGGAGTACAATGCCAAGTGTAAAACAGTATTCCCAATATCACTGTGAGCTCGGTGGTGTCTCCAACGTCGTCCTGTATGTAAAAGAGAGCATAGAGAGATGGGTGCCACTGTAAGGTCGACGTTAGAGCCCAACAACGATTGCGATGGCACTAAATTAGAGAGGTATGGGTTAGGGGGAGAAGGTAAGGAGAGAAAATTAAGAGACAAGTGAATTTTAGGGTTTGGGATGAAATTGGGCTGGGGTGGATGGGTGTGATATGGGGTGAGGTCTAAGTGGAGGGGCAAATTTTAAAATACTATTATTAATATTCATATTTCAACTGATTTATGTATAACTAGATCTTATATCTGATTTTTGAACTACAATTTTTGAAAACTTGTATAATAGTAATGTTATTTATATCATGATAGTGGAACATGAATGATATGACAACATATTTTGCCACACATTTTCTTTCTATCTTGAGACAACGTCTCTCTCTCTCTCATAAAAATTGATATGTCCAATTTCATATATCACATAGATTCTAATGTCATTGATATTCTATTATCATAATGATAAATAGCACTATTCTCCGCTAACAAAAAAATACTCGTTTTGTTTTCTGTCGAACAACTACTCGCGAGAAAATGGTAATATGGACCAACTCATTTCAAGCAACACCCTATCTTCCGTTTCTTTGTGCAACAACCAAAACATCATTTTCCAGAAGGAAGCAAAGATAAATCGTGATCGACGATGGCACTCAATCTCCGGCTAAAGCAAACGGGTAATTTTTTTAATATTCCCACCCAGATCTCGGTTGTGCAGTTCCGATTTCCTGTAGACGCACAATTTTTGGGTAATTTTATTTCTGGGTTTAGCTTTATCTTGTTGCTGGATGTGCAGAGTGCATAATCCGGATGCTCAATCTGAACCAGACAGTAATTAACCCGGTTGGTGGCGGAGTGGGGACGGCAAACGAAGAGGTGTACAAGATCCTGATTTACGATAGGTTCTGCCAGGATATACTGTCGCCGCTGATCCACGTCAAGGATCTGCGGAAGCATGGTGTCACGCTCTACTTTCTTGTCGACAAGGATCGCAAGCCAGTCCACGATGTCCCCGCTGTATACTTCGTTCAGCCTACCCAACTCAACATCCAGCGTATAGTCTCGGATACGTCCAGGGCGCTCTATGATTCGTTTCACCTCAATTTCTCCTCCTCCATTCCCAGGCCCCTCCTCGAGGACCTCGCATCTGGTATATTATACAGTTTACTGGTATTTGATTTGAATTTTATTTTTTGGATTTCATTAGGACATTGACCTAAGATTCAAAGAGAAAATTATATTATTGTATTGTTTTGATCTTATACTAGCTTCTAGTATGATTGATTGGTGATGTATACTTTAAGACCCATGATGCAGGGCCATTTTCAATCTGTAGTTTCTATTTTAAAATTGAACGTGAAGCAATCTATTTAAGGGGGGATTAGCATAGCTCTCACATATATAACCGAAGGTGTATGCCCAATACACAAGTATGTATGTTACACCACAGTTTTTCAGAAACTCCAGCATTAGTTGGACTATACATAAATTCTACTTTAAGAGTTCATTTAAGGGATATTAGTGTAGTTCTTGGTTCTAAGTGACTCATGATCAGATTCGGCTTTTTAAAAGCTCAATATTAAGTTGCCAAAAGATAATTAAAGAAAAGCAGTTTTCATGAATGATCAAGTTAGATATTTAATAGAAACCAAAAATGATTATTTTTTTATGCTTTGTGCTTCAGGAGCAGTTAATTCGGATTCAATTCAGAGAATTTCCAAGGTCCATGATCAGTATTTGGAATTTGTGACCCTTGAGGATAATTTATTTTCGCTTGCTAATAAGAATTGCTACGTTCAATTAAATGATCCCTCAGCTGGGGATAAAGAGATTGAGGAAATAGTTGAAAAAATTGTCAATGGGTTGTTTTGTGTGTTGGCAACGCTTGCTGTTGTGCCAATTATTAGGTGTCCCCGTGGAGGGCCCTCTGAGATGGTGGCATCCTTACTTGATCAGAGGTTGCGTGATCATTTGTTGGCAAAGAACAATTTGTTCACTGAGGGTGGGCATTTCACGAGCTCGTTTCAGAGGCCGATTTTATGTATATTTGATAGGAACTTCGAGCTGTCTGTGGCCATACAGCATGAATTTAGGTATAAGCCGCTAGTTCATGACGTGCTTGGGATGAGGTTGAATAGATTGAATGTCAAAGGGGAGAAAGGTGGGATGAAGTCGTATGAATTGGATCATTCGGACCCATTTTGGATGGCAAATGGGTCATTAGAGTTTCCAGAAGTGGCTGTTGAAATTGAGACGCAGTTAAGCAAGTATAAGAAAGATGTTGAGGAGGTAAATAGGCGAACTGGAGGAAATGCTGGGGCTGAGTTCGATGGGTCAGATCTGATTGGCAACACAAAGTTTCTGATGAGTGCAGTAAATTCTTTGCCTGAATTGACTGAACGGAAGCAAGTGATTGATAAGCACACTAATATTGCTACTGCGTTGTTGGGTGAGATTAAGGAAAGATCTCTGGATTCTTATGCCAAAATGGAAAGTGAAATGATGATCAGAGGTGGAATTGATAAGAATGAGCTTCTTAGCATGCTCAGGGGGAAAGGAGATAAAATGGATAAACTGAGGTTTGCTATAATGTATCTCATATCAACTGAAAGCCTTTCTCCTTCAGAAGTTGAAATGGTTGAAGTTGCACTGAGGGAGTCCGAGGTTGATACCAGTGCATTTCAGTATGTGAAGAAGATAAAGTCATTAAATATTGCATTAGCATCAGCAAATTCTGCCAGCAGGAGCAATATCGTCGACTGGGCTGAAAAACTGTATGGGCAGTCGATCAGTGCTGTAACTGCTGGTGTAAAAAACTTGTTGTCTAGTGCTCATCAGGTTGCTCTGACAAGAACGGTTGATGCACTAATGGAGGGCAAACCAAATCCCGAAATTGATTCTTATCTTGTTTTCGATCCTCGTGCTCCAAAGTCAGCCTCTGGATCAAGTAGCAGCCACCTGAAAGGACCATTCAAAGAAGCTATCATATTTATGATCGGTGGTGGAAATTATGTAGAGCACGGGAGCTTGCAAGATCTTGCACACAGTCAGCAGCCAGTCAAGCATGTCATTTATGGAGCAACAGAAATCCTCACGGGAGGTGAGTTTGTCGAGCAGCTTGCTGTACTCGGAAAGAAGATGGGATTAGGAAGCAGTGAGATTGCTCCAGCCGTTAAATAGATGCTTACACGTATTTTTCACTTGAGCAAACTTTGTGTGATTTTGAGGATATAGTGGGCATATTCTTGAAGCTGCCGAGAGGATGGCTGCGGGAATTCTTCTATGGTGATTTTCTTAATCTTGTTCCTGAAACGTGATGCAAGAAAATGTTTTTATCTTGATCGAAGTGAGTGTTTTTGCCATACTTTACCATTAAACCTTGAATTTTACGTTTAGATCTGTATATGATTTATTTCTATTTTGTTGGGACATTAATGTGCTGCCTTAGTTTTTTTGAATTATGTATAAGAGGTATAAGAGATAGATGAGCTATCCAGAAGAGAGTTGAGAAGATTTATTTATTTAATTTTTATGTGGTTGAAGAAATTTTAACCCAATCATATTTTATCACCATATCATGTGTATGCATACCAATTTGTAAATAGTGATGTACATGTAGCACAATCGAATTTTTTCCCAATTTTGTATGCGACTGACTTTAATTGTAGTAGAACGCTCACCCCTTTTAACTTCCTGTTGAAGCTTGGAACATATTGCTACTTGGCTTTTGCTTGAAAATTTTGACTGCATATTCATGACAGGCTGTAAAATCAGTAGTGATGAAACGTTGTCATGTTTGGAATTGATTTAGAGTTCAACTTTTAATTGTCAAATAGTTCACTACTATTTTAACCATTTGGTAAATTTGAAAGTGATTATTGAAGAAACTGGAGCAAAATGGTAGCTTCTCAAACTTTGCTTATTACCATTTTCAATTATATATCATTAGAATATTAAAATTAATCGTAGTTAGTTAACGTAATTCCTTTATCTGTTATACGTTTATTAGTATTTCAATAATAAAATAATTTATTGGAATCTTTCTAATATATTATAGGCTTATGGGCACAAAACGTCTTTATGTTTTGCTTTTAGTGTGCAAAATGTTCATACATTTTAATTTTTTTTATATTTTTACCTCTATTTTCATGTTTCGTTACGGAAACTGTCCTTCCATCCATTTTTTGTTAGTTCTACCATTACATGCACATTTGGACTCAGTTTTATTTTTAAACAAGAAAAGTAAAATGGTCAGGCCACTTAAAAAAGGGGGGGAAATTTTAAAAGGAGAGTTTTCTTCCTGCCATAAACAAGTTAATCGCAAGTTAAAAAATAAATAAAGAAAGAATGAAATTAAGTAGTAATATATAACGAAACTCTAAAATGGCAACAAGCAGGCAGATTAATCAAACAAATGAAGCAGAATTTTTTTTACAATGCTTGGTGTAAAATTATAATTTTGAAATAGCAACGCATTTATTGTTTGAAGTTCACTATTCATCATCACCCAAGTTGATGCATTTTCCATTTTTCAATTGTGGCTTCCGTACATGCTTTCATCCACCTTTACTCTCCATAGCAACCCGATATAAAAAATCATAAAACTCAGTTTCCCGGAATTCTACATCAAATCTAGAGCCCTGAATTTGGTTTTTCCACGAAATTCAAAGCGTCCATACGTTTCAAGAAGTTCTGTGAAAGGAGTCCCTACATTTCAAATGGTTTTACATAGAACATCCCTACGTTTTGAAGGGTTTTGCAAATAACATCCCTACGTTTCAACAATTTTTGCACAAAACATCCATATGTTCATGTCTATGTGAAAATCATCCCTATCTTATCCTATAAGCATCGTATCCAACACAAACAACTTAGCCAACTGATCAATTACAACAAACTCAACATGAAATTACAATTTAAAGACAGTAAATCAAATTCATGAATTGAGATATCAATAAACACAGCAAATACAGCTGTTGATCAAAAACCAAACAAAAAAAACTTAGCTAGAGAATGAAGTCACAACCAAAAGAGTTCAACATGACTATATATTCCATTCAGCATTCAGCAATGAAAAACCACAACATTCAGACTCATTTTGTCTCTTCTTCTATTCATCATTTACGCACATCAATAAAAAGAGAGTTGCCATTCAGGCCAACCTTCAACCCACTACAAGTGCATTCAAAATAATAATAATAATAATAATAATAATAATAATGTCCCTAATTAGGTGTTGGTGGTAGTGTACACATGAATTGTATTAAAAAAATAAATGAATAAAAAATAATAATTCGCTGTGAGAAATTACCTTCTCCCAATTCTCGCATTGCCCGCATACAGTAACCTATGACGAGATGACAAATCTGAGATGATAGGAGAATGGGAGGAAGGGAATGGGTGCGAGAGGGACGTGGATGGTTGAAATTTTTGAAAAGAAACCGTTCATCTACGTGTTTGCTATGTTGCAGGATGAAAAATTTATCTCTCTCTCTCTCTTTTTATTTGAAATGGCTTGACCATTTTATCTTTCTCGTTTTAAAATAAAATTGAGTTCAATTGTGCTTTTAATGGTGGAACTAACGACAGATGGACAGAATAAAGTTTTTAATGAAACGTGAAAATAGGGATGAAAACGCAAAAAAAAAAAAAATAAATAAATAAAAATTGAAACTTATAGACATTTTTTGCCAATAAGGTTATATTATATTACTATGTATGTATGTTGTAATTTTATATATGAAATTGAAAATAAATTCTACTATATTACTAATGATAAGAATTAAACCTCCATATCAATACTCAAACGTTATACATGCACAACACTAAAGTATTTTAATATATCACATACTCAAATGTTGGTTTTAAAATATACACCAAATTTTAAATAAAAATTACTAACACTAGAGTAATTCATTTCGCAGTTGTTTCTTTTTATAGCATAGTTATAATTGTTTATTAATAAATAGTGAAGTTGCCAAGATTATTTATTATTTATTACCACAGTCAAAGGACCAGCCTTTCCCAAATGTGAAAGCTTCTGCTAATTTGATTAATTATTTCTTTAAACACATTTGAATTTGGTTGGGCGTGGGTTAGGGTGCTGGGGTAATTATAATTTAATTATCTAACTATGACTTTAATTTCAAATCTTACAAATATGTTGCTTGTCTTTTTCAAATTAATGAAAATTACTTACACATCGTTTGGATAATAATATACAAAATGATTTATAAATTCAATCATAGCCAAAAATTAATTTCATCCAAACATTCATAGCTATCAATATTGTCCAAATATTAAACTATTTATAAATTTGTCAAACGGAAGCATACTAAACAAATCTTTCACATAAATACTCCATGAATTTTCAGTTCATTATCATGCCTAGAGTGGGCATATTATTCAACCAATATGCCCAACTAGGAAATACTTAAGTCTGTTTCAAGTTGGCTCAAATCATCGATTTTAGGCACAGTTTTTCTTTTAAAAAATAATCTGTTGTGGTAAAATACTCATGAAATTAACAATCCGAAAAAATTCGAGTGTCACGCACTGAAAATGCTCTTCTCCCATTAGATATAAAAAGGTCGTCAACAACTAGACATGTGGCCTTCTATTACTAAAGAGTGCGCTAATAATGTGAGCATATGTAGGTATTTATTAGCATCTACCTATAAGCGCACGTGTACGTCAGTTGTTCGATACCTCGGGAGACTAACCTTTAGTATGTGAAAGTTGATGTAAGAGCGAAACTACTCGAAGGTGTGTTGTTTGTTATAGAAGATTGATCAATGGCGTGCGCACTTGTGGAGAACATATTTTGGGCCACGGATCATGAGGACAAGCAAGCGGAACTGATAAAGAAAAGCTTTGGATATGAATGGCAGCATTGGGTGACTGTGCCTATGTGTAGAGGTGAGCGCGGGTCGGTTCGGTTCGGTTCTCTTTAGAATCGAATCGAATCAAAATTTTCGGGTATCTAGTAAATGGAACCGTCGGGTCCAAATATAATTATGGAACCGTTCACGTTCAGTTCCGTTCGGTTCGATTTCGTTAGGTTCTGTACTATAATTAAATTTTTTTAACTTTTATAACAACATTATATAAAATACAACTAATGACACATTCAATGGTTTTAGAATGTCAGAGATTAGTATATTACATTGTTCAAATAATCGCTATGGTTAAAGTTTCGGTCAGCGGAGGTCACGGCGTCAGTCGACGATTGTATAGGTTTTGGAATGTCAGCGAGGCTGCGAGAGTGAGTACAAGAGTCGAGATAGCGTTATGCACTTTAGTGTAAGTGTTTAAAATTATTTAGTAAATTGGATCTTGTTGGGCTAAGAAATGAAACAATAAAATGGGTAATTGTGCAAAAATTAAAAAAAAATAGAAATTAAACAAATTATTAGGCCAAAAATTTGATTTAGAAATTGTTAATTTGTTTAGAAAAAATTAAAATTAAAATTAAAATAATTTGATTTATTCAATATAAAAAAAAATTAGAAAGATTCGGTTCTATTCGGTTCTTGGTCTAGAACCGAAAAACGAATCGTACCCGTCAATTCTCAATTCAGATACCCGTTCGGGTATTTAATTTGACAAGAACCGTCGGGTTCTGTTTGGATTCGGTTCGGGAGATTTGCCCAACCCAACCTATGTGCATTGTCAAGTTTGTTTCATGGAGCGCACATTGCAATGTGCAATGATGGAGAATGCAATATATAATGATGAAGATTGTGTTGTTACTTTGAAATTCATAGTGGCATTACGATGGAAGCTGTATATCCGAATAACTAAAGCTTGGCATATAATAAAGGTAGGCGACAAAGGCAGTATTTATAGAGTTACATCGGCTAGATGTGTGAGGGGACATTGTATGGATACTTGTTCACATGGGATGTTGCCGTTATTATTCTTGCAATGAGAAAAATGCATGTTAAAATTAGGTGTGTGACTTCTATTACTGAAGAATGAACTAACGACGTGATTAGATGCAAGTATTGTCTAGCATCTTATACATAAAGGGGCATGTCTGTCAATTGTTCGAACTTGTCAATTTTTAGCATTGTTCTAAAAGTGCGCATTGGCGGCCCAATGCGCAGTGCGCGGTGGAAACACCAAGCTAGACTTAATTAGTGGTCAACAGCAATCTTTGATTGCGTGTGCGCTCATGCCTAGGCACGCATAGTTATCATTTTTTAATTTTTTTTTTATTTTTTATTTTTTATTTTTTACAATTCTTCTAAGTTAAAACTTAAATGTTGATTTCATTTCGTCAGTTCTAAATTCCAAATAGTAACTTGAAGCTTCGAACAAAGGAAATCTCCTAAAAATTCCTTTTTATTTACTATTTAATATTCACGTTTGGAACTCATCTTTTTGTTGAAAACTTTGAAAAAATGTATAAATTTCCTATAAATTTGTTTTAGATGTTTGGCAAGTATTATTTTTAATTATTAAATAATTTTTCAATTGATTAAAAATTAAAATAATATTAAAATAAGAAAACGTCTTTTTACGCACATGCCTCATCTAACCCATAGCTT